CTCACAATGTATTTTTTCCCATTCTACTGCTGATAGGTATTTCAGCTGTTTCTGCTTTTTGGCTAATATTAATAAAGCTACTATGAACATTCTTGTATTTATATTTTGGTGAGTATATGTATGCGTTTCTGTCAGAAAGGCTGGAATGGTGTGGAATTATTGGGTCATAGGATATACATATTTTACTTTTAGTAGGTACTGCCAAACTTTTTTCCAAAGAAGTCTTTTATAAACAACATTGCTGTTGGTTTTCCTACCTTTTGTAGACACTGCTTGTCCATCAGACACTGAATCTCTCCTCTCCCTTCACATGATCTGAAGCTGCTTCCCAAATGTTCTCGTCATTATTGGAAATTCTTCTCTACATTGTTCAGTCTTGCCCAACTGTCAGCATTCTGAAAAGCCAACTGTTGGGAAACAAAACCCAAATCCGACTAAGCTTGGCCCGAGGTCAGACCTTGCTCTAAAGGCCCTGGGGACCGTCCTTGGGGAGCTTGGCTTGGCAGGCTGCAGTGAAGCACGTGCATTAAGAAGAGCAGAAATTAGTTTATTGCTTTCCAGTTCTCCATGCTGCCATGGCTGTGGAGGAGTTGCCTCCACTTCCAACATCTCCCTCTTGGAGGAGTTAGCTCAAGAGGAGCCCAGTATGACATGGATGTGGATGTTGTCTTGCCAATGCATTGGTAAGTGCAGTCCTCATCCACAGTGTTTGGCCCCAGAGTCTCTGGAAGGCTTTGAGGAAGCTGTGCTGTGCCACTGTTCTAGCAGAAAGACCAGGCCAAGGGGATGAGCCTGTGATCCTCTTGCTGTCTCAGTCCCCTAGTCAGTTTCTTACTGGTGCTTTCACCTCCCTAGCCCCTTTCATATCTTCTCACTTCTCTCCATCCCACAGCCTTGCCCTGGCCCACCCCATCTCTCTCATGCAGATGACCTCCTCAATTGTCCCCTGGGCACTGTCTCTAGACAGACCCCTCCTGCTTCTCTCCCATGGCAGCCAGATGGATTCATGCACCTATTAATTCACTCAATAAATATTTACTGAGTGCCTACGAAATATCAGGAACTATGCCAGGCTCTGCAGGGAACCTAACACTTGAGGTGCTTACATTGGAGTGCATGTGTCTGACTGTGTCCCATATGGGCTGCCTGCTGGCTCAGTGTGAGCTCTAAGACCTTTGGTCTAGTCTAAGACCCTGCTCTGTCATTCTGGCCTCACAGCCCTTGGAGATCCCTCCAACCTCACTGCTCACAGCCCTCTGTCTCCCTCACAGCAGCCCTGGGCCCCAGGAACAAGAACAAACCATAGCTCTCATACCATCCCCAGGCCCCTGTGCCTGGAATGCATCCCAGTCAAATGACTGGCATTTTTCTCCCAGTGGGATAGATCAGTGTCCAGTTGGAGGTGGACATATCCTCTACTTGGGCATCCTGCTCCTCAGCATTTATTCAGGGGTTTGTCTGGACACCTCCTGGGTCTAAGGGGTGCCCTATCATCTACTGGGGACCTGTAGGGTTTCTGCCTTGAACTATAGCTCCTTTCCCCAGGTCTGGAGAGGACTCCTCACTGTATAGGTACTAGCTGTGGCTGTGTTCCAGGGTCTGATGAAAGTGAGCCTATTCTCACCTGTGATTAAAAGAAATGCACAAAGGTTTTACGGAAGTCAGGATGAAAAAGTAGCATAAATTTCCCAAAGTTTAGAAAATGCTATGTGGGACAAAGATCAAAACCAGGCTATAAGGTGCCCAATACAACCAGGGATACTGTTGTCACTATCCTTATCAACAACAGTGTCTGAGAGGCCAGCCAAGAGGATGACCTTGGGCTACTAGGAACCAGGGAAGCTTGGAACCCAACATCAGCACAGCTCCCTTCTCCCTCTCCCACTTAACGGATTTAGAAATTATCTCAAAGGAAGCAGAAGGGAGGGAAGACCAGCTCTCTGGCAATGTGTCATACTTCCTTCTGCCCAGAGCCTGGGGCAGCCCCAAGTTGTCCTAATGGAGGCCTTGGCTCCTGCCCAGGCCTCTTGCGCCAGCAGGGCTGGATAAGGGTGGGGTCATTTCGTGTGCAGGCCAGGGAAGCAGCAAGTTACTTGAGCCACAGCTTCAAGTCAGAAACTATATGATAACTCATAGTCTCCCCCATCCCCCCACACCCAGCAAAGTCACCCTGACTGACCCCCACAATCCTTGAGCCCCTTCTCCTACAGGGATCTCTCTAGGGAAGTCTCAACTGAAACAGGGCCAGGGCCAGGGATAGGGCTGTACCCAGCCCAGATTCACATGAAGGCTGTGACTCAGACAGATCCTAACACCTCCTCTCACAGGTCCAATCCCTAGAAATGCACACCAACCAGTTTTGGAACCAAGGCAGAAATTAGAGGAAACTGCAAGAGCCTCAGGCCATGCCCTGGGTCACAGTCACAGACACACATGACAACTCGAGCATCTATGAATCTCAGAAACAGAGAGGTATAGCCTTGGGCTCTACAACCAAACAAAAACAGCAGGCATGGCCATGGGCCTGGATTCCCTAGTTATCATGAAACCCTGTGGAAGGAAGGAACATCTTTCCTTAGAGTCAGCCAGTCCAAAAGTCCAGGAATCACAGGCAGATAGACAGGCCCATGACAGTGACAAACAAATTAGATAGCCTAAGGCTCCTGAAAGTAACAGATGGATAGTCACTGACAGAGTCCCTGGCACTGACAGGTTCAGCCAAGGCTTGGAAGGGATGGATGGAAAGACTGGCTGGGGACATTGGCAGTGTCAGACTGACAGACAGAGGCAGATGGACAGACTTACGAGTCCCTCGCAGGGACACACAAAGACACAGCTGCTATTGTGGTCAGGATGAGAGGTGGCAGTTCTATTCTGAGCTCAGTCCCAGAGGCTCTTGGAGTTTTTCCTTCTTAGCATTGCAATCAGAGACTCTGAGGGACTCTTTCCATGGCCACAACTCCCCCTGCCCCATGATCCTCAGGAAGGGAGAAAGCTGTGGCCCTCACTATCCCTGAAGCCAGACTCAAGAATCAATTCATACCCCTGTCACCATCTCCCTTTCCCAGCCTTGTGGGGCATCAAATGATTTCCTCATATCCCTCCTGGGAACGCCAACTCATAGCATAGTGGAACTTTTTGTCCTGGGAAAGGTCTTCTTAGGGACCACTGTGAGGGCAGACTCTATGGGCACAGTGGACAGTATTAGGTAGAGGATGAAATCCACTGCTCCCATGGTTATCAGAGGACACTTAGCTCCAATTGACCAACTTCTCTCTTCACCTCCATGACCTCTAGGGCCCAGAGACCTAAGGGGCTAAAAGGTCTTGGCCAAGGGGAGAGACTCCAGGCCAGGCAAGGATAGGGTGATTAGCCACTTTCACTGGTAGAGACTGAGGCTGACTTGGACACATTCAGCTCTGCATCTGTAGTGTCCAATAACCCCTGAAAAGAAGTAAGACTTTCCAACCTTGAAGGGACCTTTGTGCTGAAACCATGACCAGGCTGCCTGCCTCAGGCTGGGTCACTGGGATGGAGACTCTGAGACAGAGATTAGCAAGTAGGATTGCTTATTGAAGGGAAAGAAAGGGAAGGGAAGGGATAGGCGGGAAACGGAAGGAAAAGGAAGGTGAAAAAAGGTATCAGGATTAAACAGAGAGAAGATGGATTAAATGCAGTCACAGCAAAAGTTTCAGCTGACTCAAAGGAGAGTTCCAGGGCTGAGATGGCCTCTCAGACTCTCCCTAATTTTGGGTGAAGATGAGGCTAAGCCTTATTCCTTGATGCTGATCACTAATTAGACATAGGATGTCCCTAGAAGGAGGTATGACTTTAGGTGTGGCAATGTTTTTCAGGCAAGGAAATTCTCAAAGAGAGGGGATGCCTTCTGAGAGCTGTCTTCCAGCAGTGCTACTGCTGGGGAAAAAAGATCTTGACTCCTAAAGGGTGTTCTGGGCAGCACATCATCATGTCCACCACAGTATACACCCCTTGAGCTGTCTGAATCCACTTCTTTCTATAACTACTTTCCATAGTCTTTGGGAGCAGCTTCTCCAGGATTCCAGTGCTATGCTGTTACATGTTTAACACTGACTCTTATTTCAAAATTTGTAGATATTGACAGGCATATGTAAAACAGATAAACAAGATTATACTGTATAGCACAGGGAAATATATACAAGATCTTGTGGTA